TATGCTAATTCAAAAATTGAAAGTACCATATCCGCGCGGAAAGTAGGCGCGGGAAAGAAAGAAAGTCCTTCGTCCATCCATATTCCTACAAGAATTCCCAGAGTTTTCCAGGTCGAGGCCGAGAACATTCGCGCGCGAAAGGTCGCGCCGAGTTCCGTTAATTCCAGAATTCCTAACTGTCAAGCCAAATTCCGAGCGCGCTCGCTAAGGCGCGCGAAATTCCCATGCATTTTCAATTTAAAAAGAATTGACAAATTTCAACGAGGTACCTTTAATCGAACAAAAACAGAGGGAGGGGGAGGGGTCCTCGGGGGTTGAACAAGACACATCTAGATGCAGAGAAAATACGGGGAGCGAAGGGGTCCGAAAGATGGCGCAGGTTCGAAAGTTGGTTCGTCACACACCATGGGAGAGCTCGCCCTTTTTGTTCCAAAGACGTTCTATCTATCAACCAGTTGTTTGTTGGAAGACAGCGGTGCTCTAACTGCCATTGAAGTGAGGCCAGTTTGGCTGGCTTAGCCTTGGCCATCCTGAACCATCTATTAATTGATCTCAACTCCTCTTTGCTAATGTTTAGGTGGTCTTTCCACCAAGCCTCCACCTGATCCCGCAGAGCAGCTTTTGGTCTTAGGAGCCTGTAGGCTGACTTGACTGTTAGGGCATATATGGACTTGGTGAATTTCTTGCCCTGCCTTCCTTGGCCTGACCATGACCACTCCGACGGGTCCAGGGCTAGATGGTGAATAGGGGTACCGGGGTAGTAGGCTATCCTTTGCTCACTTTCATGGAGTGCACCTTAATTCTATGCGTAACTGAAATCTCTTCTTGGTGGCCGCGGGTGTAACTGTAATCCTTCCTTTCTTGACTTTCTTGCGCGCCTTTTTTTCTCTTCGTCTCATTGGCCAAGACAGTGCATGACTCAATTGATGCGTGAATAGTGGCTAGGACCCCCACGTCGCGGCCCGACCATGCAGCTGTAGGCACTTCCTCTTCTTTTCCACTTCAGCGTAATCCCAATTATCTCGCGCGGATACTGAGTGCTATAAATTCTGTGAGTGTGCCTAATTCGCTCTCTAATCAAACTTTGGAGTTAATGTGCTCGAGGGGATCGGCTAACGGGTAGGAGCAAGACAGTGAGTAGGGAGTTGTGCGATCCGACGGGCTGGTGCTGAGTATGAGGGGTTGATGTGGCGGCGAAGGACTATGGCACACGAACGAACCTGGCTTGCAGACTCGGACTAAGCGGGGTGACGACTCTATGGTGTTGATAGGTGTGAGGCGACGGACTGCCCACATCAGAGGAACGCACAGAGAGAGAGAGTGATATGTTGGAGTGATGCTTTACTTGTTCTTTCTGAACCCTCTGTATAATTTTGCTTCCCGCATTGGCCATTTTAGCTTACGGCTTTCTCGGATTTCTTTTTCCCTCCCTCGAGTGCTGATGATGTATGAATTTGTCTCTTCCTCCCTCGCCTCTTTCCCGTTTTAGGAAGATAAGAATACAAGGTTATTATTGCTTCGATCAAATGAATGGTTGTATTAAGAACTGGATCAAATGAATGGTTGTATCAAGAACCGTGAATGCCTTGTTACGTGAGGACTTCCTTAGTCATCTGTATATACGCACTCACAAGATCTGTCTTCGACAGGTTGGGAGACGGTCCACCTCGTATTTTTGACGAATCCGAGTTATGCATGCATCTATTTTCAATCACCACTATCATTCACAATTCAGCACGGTCTAGACATCTAATCAAACAACCCACTTCGACATACGGATATGCAAAAAGGAGAGAAGAAAATGACCATCGTTCAAGTTCATGCAACCATATAATCCCTTAGCTCAGTTAGCCCCAGTATGCACGATCACCTGTCCTTCGTGGCCCCGGGATTCGTCGCCATAACCACCAAGTTCCCTCCCTCCTATCGCCTCCTTCCTTACCACTCTGGTAGTTGTTCCCTAGAACGTGATAGCCCCTTACTGGCTGCGAAGGCCGTGCTGTGAGTGCCAACAGTATAATTCCTACCGAGCCGCGGGATTTGTTCGACGAACCCGTTCCGAAGCTGAACACCGAGAGCATAGCCTCCAGCTGAGGCCGTCCACGTCAGACTCTGAGATCTGTGAAGCCCGCCGGTGACAAGTGTTGGCCTCGAGAGAGAGCCACTGTGTTCCCCCACTCCACAGGATCCGAATTCAGCCCAGGCGACGCGGCCGTTGGACATAGTCACCCGGTTCTGAGCAGTGGAACAGGAAACCTGGTTCTTCACTGAGTCACTTGCATTTCTGTCCTTCAAACTTGACGCCAGGGATCCCAGTTCCGACCTGAGACTCCACCCCACTTTCCAAAAATCCTTGGCACGCCCCTTTCACGCACTTCTGGGCCCCCTCCCACTCCGAAACAGGAAGTCGCGCTGGGCGTGAGGTTGGGCGTCACAGCACAATCGTCGATCAACCTAGAGATCATCACTCTGTGAATCTGGCGACTGCAGCGATCCGATCACACCCTGCTTTCCACACAGCTACGTGATTGTCTCATGTGGTCGCTATTCACCTGTCAAGGCTTTTTCATCCGCTATCCACCTCCTACTAGCTTCTCATCCTGAGCTGGCTTGCAGCACGACTTGAAGAGAGAGCGAGAATTTTGCTTGTGAGGTTTATAGTTGCGACGATGGGGAAGCAATGATGCACGCAAGGGAAGGGAGACGAGGAGGAATCGAGAGTCCATGGCGATGCAAGGGAAGGGCTCGTAGCTGGTTGAACAGCGGTGTAGGGGACTTAGCTGCCCACACAGCGATCTGATCTCTGTGGCCATCTGGGCTCACCAGGATCTCATAGAAAGCAAGCGGAGGCGGGAAAAGCAGTGAGGAAAGATGGTGCGAAAGAAACCAAAATTCAACAAGATCAATAAGGAGAAAAGAGGCACGAAGGAAGAAGGAGAAGACGGTTACGCTTGTCAGAGCGAAGTGCGGAGAAATAAGGAGGGCACTGAAAGGATGAATGCAAGAATGCAAGCATAGACGGCGCACGCACAGAAATCAAAAGGTGGAGAACAGTTGTGTGAAGCGTCATGAAAAACAGTGCTCGTTAAGGCACGGGAATTCAACTACATTGCGCCCCATTCTCAAAGCACTGGAATGAAAGCACTAATTCCGAGGGTATTTGTAAAATTGCTCCAAAACCAGACATCCTAAGCTGAGAGAAGGAAGGATAGTATGCAAACCCCTACTACAAATTAAATTGCATGGAGAGGTACAGAAATCCATACATCTAAGTAAGATAGTTCATAACAGGGTGCCATAGTTGGAGTATGAGAGAGAGAGTGAGAGAGGAAGCCATTCTGAGGGCCTACTCACACTAGCACATAAAATCACAAATACTGCGTTGAAGGTTTTGTTTTGTGCTTATCGGGCACGCCTGGTCACACAGCTCTCCCATATCTACCATGTAACAGAAAAGACACTACCACGACCAGTCCTCCTAATGCAAATTTACGCGCAGTGCAGTCACAAATTTAATTGTGAATGCGGAAAGAAATCACAGGGAAAAAAATACACAACTGCGGGCACCACCGGAGGTGCCCCCAAAACAGTTATGCCCGCCGCCCCCCAGGCTGCTGACATACACGTGCCCAGGTATTACGTGAATTCACGAAATACTGCAAATGTGTGACTGTAAAGTCACACAAATTTTGCAAGTTGCGGTTTTACATTCTAGTCAATGCCCTGAGAGACGAGCAAGGACTGTGAGGTGACAGTGAGAGCAGAGAGATAGAGGCAAGTGAGAGAGCATGAAAGAGAGAGCCTTACCTGCTGAGTTGAGCGGCCATAGTCGCTGGTGACAAAGAAGACACAACCAAGTTTGTGTTGACCATTGAGACTCTTTTGGACTTTTATGTGACATCTGTGATTGTTGTGTGATGCAGGATTTCTGTCTGAGTGTTTCATGCATGTTCGTCTCACAGCAGTACACTACTATATACATAGATAATACATGACATGATACTTGTGACAACAATCAACACCCTTCCACATGACGGTAACAACACAGTCTATGGTGCTTCTGACTCTTGGTGCTCAGGCTATGGGCGTTTGGGCTGCTTATGTGCTGCTCTCCAGCGGCACTCATCCCTAAGGCTACTACCTCAATTTCAACGGAACTAATCCTACGTCGATTAATTTGGAAAGATTCGGCAAGGCCAAGGAACTATCAAAATTTCCTCCAAAATCCCAGCCATGCCTGCTCTACCACCACTGCCGTTGCCCCAGAAATCCTTCACGTTGATCCTCTGGGCTGCAGGCCCTTTTGCCCTGCCTTTTACCGGTTGTACCCGTTCTGAAACGGAAGCACCACTCGGCTGGCTGCAGCATCTGCTCGTATTCAGCCAACCTCTGCTCGTATCCACTCCTTGCCCTCTCGTCTTGAATCCACTCTTTTCAGCTGCTCTCCCTTCCCTGTAGTAACCAGAAGTTTCACAACAGGAGTCGCCCTCCCCGTGTTCTCGCACATCCCTCTCTCTCTCTCTCTCTCTCTCTCTCTCTCTCTCTCTCTCTCTCTCTCTCTCTCTCTCTCTCTCTCGGGGTTCTTTCACTTTGTCTTCTCTTGTCCATCTGCAGTCTTTCACTCTGTTGATTCTCTTCTTCTCGTTTTGGACGTCAATTAACCTGCTTTTCTTCCTGTCTCTGGCGCTCGGTCAGCCGTCTGGCTGCGTCCCAAACACGCTATCGACCCTCCACCTTTCTAACCCTTCACTGTCGAGGCGTCTGTTTCTCACCCGCATGCACACAACGACAGGGGTGAGACTGGGCTTTACCATACTCACCAGCCGTGAAGAATGGAGAGTGCGTCTTCACATAGACGGTATGGTGTGAAAGTACATCAGCCACTATTCAGATGTATCTTGCCACTTACGCATTCCCCAGTCGCCACGAGTCGTGAGTAGACTGGCGAGGCCCACAATCAAATCAAACACCTCCGAGCAAGGACGCATGAACAGGCTCGCTCTCTCGTATGCTTCTGAGATCCTGTCACGAGTCTTTTCTAGCCCTTCAATTCGTTCGTTTTGCTCTAGAAAGCCCACTCTCTGGAGCGGAAGGTTCTCCTGATCCCCCCCCCAGAGTGTCGCTTACTACGCCTCTGATGGTCTAGCTCGGGGATCTCTTTCCTTGCTCGCTCCAACTCCTGGATCTTCGCCTCATCGTACAGTACCTGGAAGCATCCATAGCCCTGGTTTCCAGAGTGATAACCAAGGCTAGTATGCCTGAGCGCGCCAAGGTCAGCGTCGGCGGGAGCACCTGCAGGTGCCCCCCCCTGGCTCTTCGGATGCCCAACCGCTTTTCCAGAAGCGGCCCCTGCGGCCCCTCCTCCTCCTCCCCCTGCTGCTGTCCCTGGTTCTGTTCGGCAGCCCTGCCGTCTCCTATCAGGAGGCTGATGCGTCGGGATGACGATGGCCAGCGCGTCGGAGATGACCTGGCACTTCAGTGCCAGGTCAGCAGGAGTTGTAGCCGACAGCGATGGCGAGGCATTTACCTCAATCAGCCAGGGCTTAAGGTTGGAGTCGACGATGATATCGTAACCGTACAGCTCGAAACAATGCCGATCGTTGATGATCACGTTCTGACATGCCTTCAGCGAGTGTATAATGAGAGTTTTTATGTCTTTGAAAAGCTTGTCCGTTGCCACGTGGCCTCTGGTAGCCGTCAGAAACAATCGTATGTTTTCTAGAGGCCATTTGTTCCCATGTTTACCGTTGTACTCCTCACCGTGCTTCTGGATGGCCACATTCGTCAGGTGAATGAACTGATTATCTAGCTCGTCCAGCTCTGTCGAGTACTTCACGTTACAAAATCGTCCAAAACCTTGCTTTGAAATGTAGGCCTTCAGGGGGCGATAAGATGTGACGAGCACATAGATGCGGAGGTCGAACTTCTTGCCCCCCACCAAGAGGGGATTGGTGATGTACTTGGAGATAACATAGACGTCTTTGCCGGGTATCGAACACTGCACTCCTCGGACTCCGCCGGGTGCCCAACGCTTCACTTGGGACAATCTATTGATCAAGAAGATTCCCACCCCCTGCGCCTTTCCGCTGGGTTTCATAATCCATGTATTGTTGGGTTGTTTTCTGAACTCCTCGACGAACAGACTGTAATCTGCAGGGAGAGCGTAGGAGGGTGGTATGAAGTCCAAGCCATCCAACAACCCCTCTACTGCACTAGCTTTGTCTGCCGTTGCCATCCCCGTCCCTCCCCCTCCCCCCCCGCCCCCCCCTCCCCCTCCGTATCCCCCGCTGCTTCCATTAACCAATGACATCCCGCACGCCACTGCCTCCTTCTCCAATTCCTTTCGATACCGTTTTATGTTTTTTACCATCAGGTCCTTTCGAGTGATTTCGTAATGGTTTGGGAAATGATTTACAAACTGGTTGTCGCTCAGGCGCATGTTGCTGTCCGTCGCGAACAGCCCTTTGATGTTGTGAACGTTGGCCCAGTAGAGGTTCCAATCCTCTTCTCCTTCACGGGTTGGGATCCAACCACGCTTCTCGAAACTCGAAATCAAAACGAACTTGTCGAAATCCGATTTCCACTTCATGATATCCGCAGCAGCGACGGAATGATGGACTGACAGATGGATGGATGGGTGGACCACAAGGGTGGTGGGGGTAAGGAAGTACACGATCGAGGTAACCAGAGCACTGCCCCGCAGAGGGCAAGGGTGGAGAAGCACGGAAGCGCAGGCGCGCGCGCGCGAGCGAGCAAGCGAGCGAGCGAGAGAGAGAGAGAGAGAGAGAGAGAGAGAGAGAGAGAGAGAGAGAGAGAGAGAGAGAGAGAGGGAGAGAGAGAGGGAGGAAGGCCAAGGGAGGCAGCGTGAGAGTAAGGGATGGGAGTGAGAGAGCGAGGGGGAGGAGGGAGAAGAAGAGGGAATGACGGAAGGGAGTCCTGGAAAGTGAACTCCGACGGTGCTCGGTTGCGATAAGAATGAAAGGAAAAGAGGTCGAGTGAACGGGAAAGGGACGAGGGAAAAATGGAGTGACTGTTGGCGGGACCGAAACGGCAAGGCAGGAGAGGAGGAAATCAAATGGAAGGAGAGCGAACGAAGGGGGGGGGGGGGGGGGGGGGGGGGGGGGGGAGAGCGACGAAACAAAGGAGGAGAGAAAGGAAAAATGCAGGAGGGCGGCAAAGACGGAGTAAGAAGCAAAGCGGAGATGAGAGCAGAGGAGAGACAAGGGATAAGGAAAGGATCTCTCTCTCTCTCTCTCTCTCTCTCTCTCTCTCTCCAGCCTTTCCCCGAACACAACGCAACCTATCATGACCGGTATCGGACCAGAAAGATAGCATCTATACAGTCATCATCAGCGTGCTAAGTGCTCGATGGAAGACCGTAGTTCTTTACGCCTTCAAGGCCCACGCATTCGCCGCCAGGGATCGAGAGAAAGATCACAGCACGCACAGGGGTTTTGCCACATGTCAGGCTCAAAGCACCACTGCCATTTTCGCTCTTCGACCACACCTAGAGCTTATTGTGATTAGTACTATTATCGTTATTATCAGTATTGGGATTAGGATTAGGATCAGTATCAGTATTATCATCAATTCCGGACTTATCACGGTCATTAAGTGTTATTATTACGAGTATTAGTACTATTAGTACTAAGATCATTGCTATTAAAAATGGACACATCCCGCCGTGCTGGGTTGGAACGACTGGCAGTAGGCCAATGACACGAGGAGGGTAAATATAAGGAACGAGAACGTCTATCTCTGCGAGTACACACTCATCTTTTATCTATATACACATATTATGTCTGTATGTACATATATGTCCGCGTATAGATAGTGTAGTGAGCCTTCGAGTATCTAATATGAAGATAGTATGAGCACTTTAGTAATCCTCTGCTTTTTTCCACTTCAGCACGATCATCTTTCTTACTAGACGAATTCCCTTCTGAATCTCTTACATAGTCTAACCTCGGACATACTACAGCGCACCTCCCTGGACATGGCTGCAGTCCATAGGCTAACAGACGGATTCCTGTGAATATTCCTATCTAAGTCCCTGCTACCTCGTAGCTCTAGATGATTACGTACTCTACCACCTACACCAGAATAGAATGCCTGATCACTATGGCTGTAGTTCACATCAAGTGATAATGACCGGGCATTCTAATCCGGTGAAAATGGTAGGAATGAATGTTGCTGAACAGGGTACGCCGCAGTTTTACACGGTTTGTTGGCCAAGGGAGGGAGGGAGGGA